TTAGACTCTTGGCACTCTTAGGTGAGCAGACTTAGTCAGCCTGTGTTGCCCTAACAGGAATCCAGCAAGTTATTAGCAGGGTGTTGTATGTCTCCGGTCCATATGGGTTAAGTTAAATTGAATATCACATTCCTTGATTTGCACTATCATCAGATATTGGGTCATATTGGGATGACAGTGAATATCATTGCCAGCTTCTATGTAAATACAGGTACTGGATTCACCATGCTCATGTGTCAGTGTCCTGGATACATGTAGAGACTCCTCAGCATGCCCTGGTGATCACAACACCACAATCATTCCTCACCCTCCTCCCCTTCGTTGATGCCCTCCACCACAGGTTTGATCACCCACTGCCCACCAATGCCCTCAGTGGCTCTCTGCCAGTCAGGACACTCAGTTTTGGAGAAGTGCAGGTGGCCAATGATCTCTTTGTTGGCCTGGTATTTGTCTTCATCCTTATGGAGAATCTCGATGAAGTATCTGACATTGAGGTTAGCAGGAGGCCCATCTCTCCAGCATGACTTACTGGGAAATCTTCCCTTTGTTGTGATCATGCTGCTTCTTGACTGCATTCAGGCTGCTGTTGACATACTGCCAGAAGTCCTTGGGCACTGTTTCTGGTTTGACACCTGACCTTGAAGAGGGGATCATTGTACCCCCATACTGATGGTGTTTCTGAAGGAGCTTCCTCAGAAGTGATAGTCAGTTTTGCCTTTGGTGGTGTTGCAATCAATGGTGCAGCTGACAATCTCAGATGTACAAGCCAAGCAGAACGGCCCCTCCATTTAGCATCAAACTTGTATGCCAGGTGAACCTGTGTGACTCTGAGCTGCAAATGGTGCAGACTCTTGCCATGGGTGGCCATTATCTGTCAACAGCAACAACAACAGTCAGCATACTCTCTGCTCTTGGCTACCAAAGGGCTTACCACATTCTTCAGGAACCATCATTTTTCTGCCAATGCAATCCCAATATGCCTCTTCAACTCTCTCTTTGCTTCATCATATATAAAAGGGGCATTGGAAAGCAGCAGACAGTCTTGGGCATGGTCCCAAACAAAGCACTGTACACTGTGTTAGTATTGAAACAGTGCTAAGGAGGTACACATGAAAAAAAGCTCAGTCACATCATCAACATAGCTCAGACAGTAGGAGCTCATAATGTAACTGTACGCAAACTTGCTGAGTTCTCTCTACAGACACTCGTCAGCTTAGAGAAAGTTTCTGTAGATACACTCGCCTTAGATGCCTTGCTGATCTTTCAATTAGTGTTCAAACTCTGACTGAAATCCTTCAGAAGGTCTCAAATCTTCATGCTGGTACAGATGCACATCAGCTCTTGCATCATAGGATCAGCCTGTCACTTGCTCATTTGTCAGCATAAGCATGATGAGATGATGGTGCAACTCACCTCTTTTGCAAAGCCAACCAATTTGTCTTGCTGAGCCCATGTCAGCCCTTTCCTGCCAGCCAAAAACTGCACTGCCTGCATGTAGTCACACTCTTCTCCAGCTGTCCATGCATAACATATACCAGCGCTGGGTGTTGCAGCAATCAGCCTGTCTATTCAGCATCACTGTGTGCTCATGCTTGTGGTTCACATACCTAGGCAGAGTTTCCTCCTCCTCTGCAGGCTTGCAATCAGCTGCTTCAACATCCAAGCTGGCAGCAGTGACATCTGCATTGAGAACAATGCTCACATTGAGAGGAAGGTGATGTGATCCACGCCTTCCAGAGGCACAAGGCATTATGGCTGGTGATGATGATGGGGTTCGAGAGAGGACTGGCATATCAAGAATGGCTGATGTGACAAGACTCTGGGAAATTGAGAGGTTGTTAGGGCAACACAGGCTGACTAAGTCTGCTCACCTAAGAGTGCCAAGAGTCTAAGC